GAGGGAGGGGGGGAGGGGAGAGAAGGTATGAACGAGAGTACGAGGTTGTATATTTGAGCATCGTACTTTAATCCTCGAAATTGTTCACAAAATTATTTGTTTGGACGGGGTCAGTGGTAGCTTTTTCCAAGCTCAAAATGATCGATGCATTTTGTATCTTCAAAAAGTTTCTCTCAACTCCCAACTAAGCTAAACTAAACAAATAAACGCTAATCTTGACTGAACTAAATTAAACATGATAAATAATTAGCTTGGCAGCCCTTTACCCCATGGTATTTCGCTGTCTTAGAAGGACAAAGTTCTATGCTCAGTACCTATTTTGAGAAATTTGACGTCTGAAATTTTGAGTTTCACAAGTCAAGTTTTTTTCAAATACCATTCGTTGGATATTTTGATAACGAATCCGAATGATCTTACGATTTTGATGGGTCAGATAAATTTGGTTTCTGTTACAAGAGAGTGGCATACACTAAAAGACGGAGGAAAGATAAGGATGAAATATGTTAGGAAAGAAGGAGCAAACCACACCAGAGCACCCACCAACCACCCACCGTAAATCTGATCAGAGGACGAAAACGGCAAGGACAAGGAAGACATACGATTAGAAATAGAGTTATTTGTATGGTTAGAGGGTTAGGTGTTTTGTTTGAGTCAAAAGAAAAGTTAGTGCTGGGAAAAAGTAAGACAGATAGACAAACAGCAGAGAGCGAAGGAAAAGAAGTAGGACCCACCAGTGGCACCCTCCAACCGCTCGCGCAGGGGGTTAGGGGAAGGGATAGTGGTCAGTTGGGTGTAAGGAAAGACCAGTTTAATTTTCAAAGGTGGTGACGGTAGGGTTCACAACTTCTGCCTTCACAAATCAGAACTTGTCTAAGACCAGAAGTTGAATATCATCCCCATTTTTCGTGTAAGCTCCTTTCCTTTATCTACATTCTCAACCGACCAGGATCATCACACTTAACAAAATATATGTAATACTAAGTACGATTCAAGTAATGAATGATTACATATGCCAGATATCTTATCTGTCTAATGTTACGGGTTGGCTAGAATAAATGCTGACAGAAAACGGAATAATCAAGTTACGGAGGACCTGCAGTTGGCAATGAGGAGGAGGAGGAGGAGCAGGAGGAGCAGGAAGAAGAAGAAGAAGAAGAAGAAGAAGAAGAAGAAGAAGAAGAAGAAGAAGA